GGGGGGGGGGTTCAGTATGCGGGACAGGGCTGCCAGCAAGAGGAATGAGGGTGCAAGGTCTGGGCAGGGGGTGGGGTTCTGGAAAGGGTTGAGGGTACAAGGTCTGGATGAGAGGTAGGGTGCAGGAGCAGGCTGGGAGTAGGGTGAAGGACAGGAGAAGGGAGCAAGAGCAAGGGAAGGTGCAGTGTGTGGTCAGGAGGAAGGCTTCAGGAGAAAGGGTGGGTGCAGGAGCAGGCTGGGAATAGGGTGTCTGGCCAGGGGAGAAGAGGCAGGAGCAGGCTGTGGGTGTGGGGTCTCGACGGGGAGTGTGTGAGGGAGCTAAGGTGTAGAGGTCTGGGCATGAGGGGATGGGGGAACTTACTTGTATTCGGGCCCCTCACTTGTCCTGGGCACTGCCTCCTGCTGCTCCCATTGGCTTGATTCTGGCCAATGGGAGTAGCAGGAAAAGCCTCCAGGCAGCGCGTCCAGGCAAAGCTTGGATGGCACCACTAGGTGTGTGGTGCAGGCAGCAACACTTTAAAGCAGTGTGTAAACTGAGATTCTGGTATTCGACTGCCCTGGAACACCTGCTCTCCTCCACAATGGTGGTGGACTTTCAGGAGCGTCTCCCAGATACTTGATCAGCTGGAGGTGTTGCAGCCAGCTGCAAGGGGCCAGGCCACAACCCAGATCTGAGCCTGGGGCCCTGCATGGCTGGGGCAGGGCCAGAACTGAGTATGGAGGATGGAAGTGCTTTTAAAAGGAGCAGGAGGTCAAAGGCAAAACAGGGGCTGTGGGATGAAGTCCTGCCAGCGTCCAGCTACACATGCCATCTGTTTCAGGTCCACACTGGGTACCCACCCTGCTGCAGGGAACTCAGCCAGCCTTGGCCTGGCCCTGATGGGGGCATATGCCCTGAGCCCCAGCGTGCCCACTGCCAGGAACATCTCCCCCTGGGTTTGATGCCCTGTTCTAAAGCTCTGCTTGGCTGGGGAGGCAGAAGGGGTGAGCACTTCACCTGCCTCCAGCAGTTACAGCATCAGCATTTCCTTGGCCCTGGGGAGGGATGCTGCCTTCTTCCCCTTAGCCACAGCCAGGGGGTGTCCCCTGGGTCTATTGCTGGGTTCTATGCTGCCCCCCTGGCTCACAGCGGCCCGCTGTCTTAGACAGCCTGGAGCCCTCCTCCTTCTGGAAGGGAGGTGGGCTCAGCCTGTGGCCCCCCACAGGGGATCAGTCTGGGTTTTCTGTCCAATGTGTGTGGAGAGAAAAAAAATGCTCCTGCAGAGTGCCTGCCACTGCTCAGGCTCCAGCAACTCACACTCCAGAGGCTGGCTCTGTCGGCAAGAGCAGCAGCAGCAACAACTCCCCATGAGGGGAGGAAAAGGGAACACTTCTTTCCCCATGAGCCCAATCATGCAGTGCGGTTCAGGGGAAGCCGGTGCTGGTGCTCCAACCTCACAAAGAGGGTGAGACTGCACTGCCACCACAGGCTCCTCACTGTGGGAGAAAGGAGAGGTGGGCTGAGCTCTAGCCACCGACCACCTGCAAGGCACCCACAGAGTCCTCCTCGCTGACTTGGAGAACCATGGGAGTTGCGTTCACATCCTTCGCACCTGCCCTGTGTACAGACCAGGGCTACGTCTACACTGGCCCCTAAAAAGGGAAAATCCATGCAAAGCAGGTAAGTCAGAATAGGGAAATCTGCGGGGGATTTAAATATCCCCCGCGGGATTTAAATAAACATGTCCGCCGCTTTTTTCCGGCTTGGGGAAAAGCCGGAAAAAAGCGTCTAGACTGGCGCGAACCTCCGGAATAAAGCCCTTCACAGCTCTGAAAGTAGGAATAAGAGATCCTCCGGAAAAGGGCTTTATTCCGGAGGATCGCGCCAGTCTAGACGCTTTTTTCCGGCTTTTCCCCAAGCCGGAAAAAAGCGGCGGACATGTTTATTTAAATCCCGCGGGGGATATTTAAATCCCCCGCAGATTTCCCTATTCTGACTTACCTGCTTTGCATGGATTTTCCCTTTTTAGGGGCCAGTGTAGACGTAGCCCAGGAGTATATAACTTCACATCTTCCCAGTGTAAGAGGAAACCCATAAAAACAGGAAGCCTAGCCTTGTAATTAGTTTATATTATACCATAAGAGTCATTGTTACACTTTTTGTCAGCACATACATATTTAGAACAAAGAAAAAGTAGAAAAATAACTATGGTGTATACATTTCTTGTGCACGTAATTTTGTCATGAATATTTAAGCTATGCACAATAAAGCTTAAAAATTACGTGAAACAAAACTTGTCTGACTCATGGGGGGGATTTACCTTAAAATCAGAATTCACTGGTTATAGGGCAATTAAGAAATATCTGTTAAACATAATAACCCCATGCAAACTCTTACTTTTACTTCCACTGTCTTTCCTCCGTGCTCGATATGCCTCTCGAGGTATTCTGAAGACAACAGATCACTGCAACAAGAGAAAAGGAACCATGAGCATTAAGCACATGCACTTTTGCACTATATCTCAGCTAGGGTTGACTCAACATTTACATATGAAAAGCACAAAAACAGCAGGATTCCTTCCCAAAATTAACTGAAACAATTAGCTACAGCTGAGGTGCATTTTGTGCATAATAGATTTATTTTTCAAACACTAAAAGGTCAGACAGACTCCACCAAGATTTTTTTGATCCAATGCTTCAAAAATCAGTTGCCAATCATTGAAAGACTAAGTAGGTTGTTGATGTCTGACATGTACAGATTATTACATTTTTCCATAGATAAGGGCAATCATATACTTTTAATATTGATTTTTCTGGTTTACATTATGAACAAACAACAATTGAACTGAAGAACAAAAAAGGCAGCTACCTTTAGCAGACCCCTAGAAAAATAATGGTGCAGTATCAAAAAAAAATCATAATACCCATGTGCACCATGAAAGGGAACTCAGGGAGTCAGCCGCAAGCAGTTGGTAAGATAATAATGCACAGTTATATCATGATATAAATCAGGTTTTGTACTGGGGTGTTCACTAGCTGACAGTGTCATTCTCAGACTCCTGCAGTGGATCTGTCTCCAAGCCATTTATCTGAACTCTAAGATTTTTATTCCATATTATTAACAATGTCCCTAAAACCATTATCCAATCAAAACTTCAGGGGTGAAATGCTGGCCCAGTAAGTGGGAACTGTGTCCCTGACTTCTGTGGGAATGAAGATTTCACCCTGATATCGCACAGTTCTAAGTATATTATGGAACATTAACAAAATACAAAGCAGATATTGGACGCAGAGCAAGATAGTTCACTCAGTACCTCATGAGTGATTTAGATCCTGGATCTCCTCCTTCCCTCATGGTGTTCCCTCTTTATAATGTCATTTGCTTTCTTTCCCTCTGCCGCCTTATGCTTTTATGCAGGCAAATCAACCACTTGTGGGAAGCTCTAAAGTTTAAATCAGTGGTTCCCAAACTTTTTGGCATCACGCCCCCTTTTTGATTTTTGAGAAACCCTCACACCTCCCCCCCCAAAAAAATAGCTGACCAGGAGCCAAAAAACAGTCGCAGCCCCATTAGTTCCTGGGACCAGTGTAAAAAAGAAGGTGCCGGTACTCCAAGGGAAAAGTTGTTGACCAAAAAAAAAAAAAAAGAAGAGCAGAGCAAGCATTGTCCTTTTAAGGCGGCCATTTTGAAGTCTGCCTGGGACGCTCCATCCTCCCCCTGACCCAGCCAGCCCGAGCTGTGCATTTTCCGGCTGATGCCCGAGACAGGAAAAACAGAAAATACCGGACATTTCACATGGTATTTTCTTAATTTTTTTAACCAGATGAACTGGGCTCTTCTGACCACATCACTTCGTGGTTTAAACCTTTTAGGAAAAATGGTATCTTAAGTAATTAATCCATGCCTTTTAAGGTAATACAGTATATGGTATTTCTCATCACTCGCAGCCTGTTCTCTTTCGTAACAATTTATCCTTTCACTGAGTTACTGAAAGCATCACTATAATCAAGAGCATAAATTCTACCTTCAATTATTCCTGTGCAATGCCACTGAAGTTTCTGTTGTAACATAATTCCTGATATACACAGGGAGCTCAGTGTTTTATTCTGAATATTCTTATACGATACAGTTCTTTCCCGACAGAGTGTATAGTATAAATAGGAATTCAGCAAAAAAACACAGTGAGATCAAATGATGTCATAAATTGGAGGGTGTGTGGGAAGTTTTTGGGGAGGAACAGAGGGATTGACAATATTACTATTAATATTTTTAAATTAACATGGGTATTGTGGCCTTCACAGAAGAAGTCAACATGACCTATCTGCCCCCTAATTTTACCACTACAGTAAATATCTTAATTATGCACAGGAGTGTTTTGTTTATAAGCATAATACCCACAAAGAATGCCTTATGATAATAACTTTATGTTAATTATAGCACAGTGCATGAAAATATCATAAAACACCAATATATGCAGTTCTATCTTCATTTTCAATAATAATGAATCAGATAGTGATAGAAATGTAGCCGTGTTAGTCTGGTGTAGCTGAAACAAAAAACAGGACTATGTAGCACTTTAAAGACTAACAAGACGGTTTATTAGGTGAGATCAACATACTATACTGACTACAATGAAAGACTCTGCCCCTCAAAAGCTTATCACCTAATAAACCATCTTGTTAGTCTTTAAAGTGCTACATAGTCCTGTTTAATGAATCAGATAGTGTTGGCTAAAATAAAATTGTTGTTTAAAAACAACATACTACGTAAATCCTAGCCAATACCAATGGAGTTAATACTTGCAGTATAAATCAATGAGTAATCAGTCAGCAATAAAATAATTTGTACGTGGTGTCCAACACGCTAGCCACTAGCCATATGTGGCTATTTGGCTGGTTGAGTGTAGCTAATTCAGAACAGATTGGATACCACGACTTTATACAGTAGTGTTGCAAAGGAAACAGCTTAGTTGACAGCCACCACATCCTTATAATCAATTTCTCCTGGCTTAAATGTACTTTTTAACCATACAGCTGTTATAAATGAAAATCTGTATCTGAAATATAACATCAGACAATCTAAAAAAAATCTCTCAAGTGCTAAGGACATAAAAAATCATAATGACAAAACATCTATGGGTGAACAAGTTATGATACCATATTTTCAGAACTATAAGCTCAATCAGAAAAATAAATTAGTTGAAAAGGAATGAGAAAAAAACCCAAACCCCATATGTTTAATTTTAAAAAAAAACATTTCACAAGAAACACATGTGAACTATGACTTTGACAATGAGAAAGTAATTATGATAATGCCAACCATCCGTTTTTGGAGTTCTTGTTTCTTATTAAAAAAAACTACTATAAAGGAGGAAATGGTTATTTTAAAAATGTACACAACAGGCTAATCACCATCTGTTTACAATACCACCCTCTTTTAGCACTATTTCAACTCCAAATCATATCAGTGATTCCACATGGACAAAGAAATAAGTAAAATACAGGACTATGTAGCACTTTAAAGACTAACAAGATGATTTATTAGATGATGAGCTTTCGTGGGCCAGACCCACTTCCTCAGATCAAATAGTGGAAGAAAATAGTTACAACCATATATGCCAAAGGATACAATTTTAAAAAATGAACACATATGAAAAGGACAAATCAAATTTCAGAACAGAAGGCGGATGCGGGGGGGCGGGAGGGAAGGTAAATGTCTGTGAGCTAATGATATTAGAGGTGATAATTGGGGAAGCTGTCTTTGTAATGGGTAAGATAACTAGAGTGTTTGTTGAGACCCGTAAAGTGTCGAATTTTAGCATGAATGACAGTTCAGAGGATTCCCTTTCAGTTCAGAGGATTGTACTTGATTTGGGCACAGAGAAGAAGGCAAGGAATATTTCTGATGATGGAAGAGATGTGCTCCCTTTTCTAGGTGCAAAGGTGGAGGAAACCAGATTTCGAACAAACTGAAGCCTCTGCATGGAGTGGAGATTTAGGAGGAGCATAAAAATGGAATTACAGCATTCCAGACGACTAGACCAGAATGCATGTGTAGAACCTGAGAGAGCAAAGATAGTTGTCTTGTGTAGAAGCGGTAGACAGAATTCCTAATCTGGGAAATGTGGGACGCACAATACAGCTCAGAAACATAATTCTAAAATGCAGTCTTGTGTCTGCATATGGTAAATCAATGTTACAGGTGAGAAGAGTGATTGATTTCCTGTATTTGATATTGTTGCCCTTTTCCATTGTACTTTGTGGAACATTTTTGTTAATGTTTTTCCTCTGTCTCATCATTTTTCTTCTGTTTCTTCTCTGCCTTTTGTAAAGTTCATCCATTTCTACAGTCCTTCATTACGTGTACCTACAAATTCAGGAAAAGACTTTAATGAGAACTTGGCTTCAAGTCAAACACTGTTCCCAACAACAGGATCAAATATGAGATTTGAGTTGAGAAGCTTTACTAAAAGGAAGGTGATGGAGTTTGCACTGAAACACTCTTTCTAAGCAAAGGGGGGATGTAAAACAAAGGGCTTCCACCTTGAGGAAAAGACTATTTAATCAATAGGAAGCTATTAGCCCTTTTGTCTTTGGCTGGCCTGACACGCTCCAAAAGGGGGCAGGAGACATGTTAGGGAGAAGGAGTTTCTCTCTAACTTGAAGACTATGCCTGAAATAAGAATAGCCCTTTAGGGTAAGGAATCTGCTTCCAATAAATTTGTTAGTGGATTAGAACTAACTACGCATTTCCTTTTAATTTTAATCTAGTAATTTACATTGATCTGTTTTCACTTGCAACCACTTACATCCTACTGTTTGCAAACAAAATTGTTTTTATTAAGTACAATCAGGCCAGTATAAATAATTGTTACCTGGGGGGACGACTGGTGTGCATCTCTCTATCTCATTGATACAGAGGGCAAACATCATCATGAGCTTCCCTGTGTAATACTTTTACACAGAGAAAGATGGATCTATTGGGGGGGAGGGTGGCTGGTCCCATGTATGGGTTGGTTTCCTGTGTGCTGTGCCCTAGAACTGCATCCTATCAGAGCTTAAGTGGTTCAGTGTCCTCACTGCTCTGCAGGGGAAGTGGTTATCCACTTGTCTTCTTGGGGAGAGACCATAGGATCTGGTCCAGCAGGACAGGGTGGTGTGGAGCCCCACAGAGCAAAAAAGGCAGGTGTCTGTGGCATGAACAGCACACTGGGAAACAATCCCAAGGGGATGTAGAAAGCTCTATGCAAGAGGAGTGCATATTGCCTGTCACAAAAAGTAGCTGATGGAAAAGAAAACATAAGTAAGTGAACAAAATGGTTGAGAGTCCACCTAACTGAAGAAGGCCACAATCATAATCAACTGTATCAAAGACAACTGTATCTATGAGTTCAAGAAAAATGAGCACAAGAGAGTCTGTTTCCAGCAAAAGATTATTATAAAACTGAGGTCTTAGCACTATGAA